TGAGCCAATAGGCCTTCTGCAGTCTCCTTAATGTTATGTTCTTAATTTCAAGAATAAGTTCAGCAGAGAAATAGGACGCAGGGAGAAATTGAGGCAAAAGCTGCTGATGGCTAAGAAGCGAGTCCCAAGACTCAGATGCATCTATACATAACTGCTAATAGGTAAAAAATGGTATTAAGTAGGAAAGCACATACACACTTGGGATAATTACAATCGTTTTCGTTCCTTAAATTTTACTTGCTTAGACCAAATGTTTTGTAAATGCTCGGTACAGCACTCAATATGCCAATACAAGGCCGGAAAAATGTGTATAATTCATATACATATGGACAATTTACATAATAATATTATTACTGGATGTCAATATAACAATATCATATTATTCATTCATGTTATATCACAGCTAAACAGGGAATGTTTATAGTTGTATCTACTGCATAGTCTTCCTAGCTTAGTGAATTCATTTGATAAATACTTACTTACGGCTGCATTGTGGGTAAAGGGACGGGAATTACCAGGATAAAGCACCAAGCCATTGCGACTATATAGCACTGGGAAGGGATCAGAATAATGATAGGGGATGGAACGGGAGAGTCAAAGAGGACATTTTATCTGTACATGACATATCTGTAATAGATTTGCAAAGTCAAGTGTTAATTATAGAATAAATCTGGTTCAATTTTCTTTTATTTTAGCACGTGTTAATGTGAACGTTTAGCGCACGTGATAATGTGAACGTTTAACATGTTAATGTGTATCATAACATATGTTAATGTGTTCTTTAATCATGTGTGAATGTATATGGCCGAAACAAACTATTATAAGAGCTGAAATTATAGAGATTGTTTTGAGTCAACTTTAAAAAGTAATTATCCGCTTTACAGGATTTTCTGTTGCAGTCACCGAGGTTTATTGTAACTGCTATGGTGGTTTCTCAGGTTGTTGTACTGACTTTTGAAGTCTTCTAAGATTTTTACTTCTTTTCCTTTTCCAGTAAGTTGCGCTTGTTTTATAGTCTCCTAAGGTGTTTCAAACACCAGATGTTGCTTTTGACCTATTTACACTACCGTTGAGGCGATGTTAATGTTTGACTTGTTGCTCCACTTGAGATTGGTCGACCAGCTGTACCTCTTGTTGTAATTCCTTTAGTACATTCTAAGGTGTTATGCTTCCTTTTGTAGCCCTATAAGCTGGCTGTTTATATGTGGTTGATCTTACCCCCCATGTTACTATAGTACCGTATATTTTCAGTGGTACTAACTTAGGAGGGTGATGGTGAACCAATTGTACTGTCCAACAAGGTTGATAAAGTTGCAGTGTCCTACAAGGTTGAATCAGTTGTACTGTCCGTGGAGGTTGAATCAGTTGCACTGTCCGTTGAGGTGGAATCAGTTGCACTGTCTGTGGAGGTTGAATCAGTTGCACTGTCCGTTGAGGTTGAATCAGTTGCACTGTCCGTTGAGGTTGAATCAGTTGCACTGTCTGTGGAGGTTGAATCAGTTGCACTGTCCGTTGAGGTTGAATCAGTTGCACTGTCCGTTGAGGTTGAATCAGTTGCACTGTCTGTGGAGGTTGAATCAGTTGCACTGTCCGTTGAGGTTGAATCAGTTGCACTGTCTGTGGAGGTTGAATCAGTTGCACTCTCTGTGGAGGTTGAATCAGTTGCACTGTCCGTGGAGGTTGAATCAGTTGCACTGTCTGTGGAGGTTGAATCAGTTGCACTGTCCGTGGAGGTTGAATCAGTTGCACTGTCTGTGGAGGTTGAATCAGTTGCACTGTCTGTGGAGGTTGAATCAGTTGCACTGTCCGTTGAGGTTGAATCAGTTGCACTGTCTGTGGAGGTTGAATCAGTTGCACTGTCCGTTGAGGTTGAATCAGTTGCACTGTCCGTAGAGGTTGAATCAGTTGCACTGTTTGTGGAGGTTGAATCAGTTGCACTGTCCGTGGAGGTTGAATCAGTTGCACTGTCTGTGGAGGTTGAATCAGTTGCACTGTCCGTTGAGGTTGAATCAGTTGCACTGTCCGTAGAGGTTGAATCAGTTGCACTGTCCGTGGAGGTTGAATCAGTTGCACTGTCTGTGGAGGTTGAATCAGTTGCACTGTCTGTGGAAGGTTCATCAGTTGCACTGTCCGTGGAGGTTGAATCAGTTGCACTGTCCGTGGAGGTTGAATCAGTTGCACTGTCCGTTGAGGTTGAATCAGTTGCACTGTCTGCGGAGGATGAATCAGTTGCACTGTCCGCGGAGGATGAATCAGTTGCACTGTCCGTGGAGGTTGAATCAGTTGCACTGTCCGTGGAGGATGAATCAGTTGCACTGTCCGTGGAGGTTGAATCAGTTGCACTGTCCGTTGAGGTTGAATCAGTTGCACTGTCTGCGGAGGATGAATCAGTTGCACTGTCCGCGGAGGATGAATCAGTTGCACTGTCTGTGGAGGTTGAATCAGTTGCACTGTCCGTTGAGGTTGAATCAGTTGCACTGTCTGTGAAGGTTTCATCAGATTCACTTTCCGAGGAGGATAAATCGGTTGCACTGTCTGTGGAGGATGAATCAGTTGCACTGTCTGTGGAGGATGAATCAGTTGCACTGTCAGTGGAGGATGAATCAGTTGCACTGTCCGTGGAGGATGAATCAGTTGCACTGTCCGTGGAGGTTGAATCAGTTGCACTGTCCGTGGAGGTTGAGTCAGTTGCACTGTCCGTGGAGGATGAATCAGTTGCACTGTCAGTGGAGGATGAATCAGTTGCACTGTCCATGGAGGATGAATCAGTTGCACTGTCCGTGGAGGTTGAATCAGTTGCACTGTCCGTGGAGGTTGAGTCAGTTGCACTGTCCGTGGAGGATGAATCAGTTGCACTGTCTGTGGAGGATGAATCAGTTGCACTGTCTGTGAAGGTTTCATCAGAGTCACTTTCCGAGGAGGATAAATCAGTTGCACTGTCTGTGGAGGTTGAATCGATTGCACTGTCTGTGGAGGTTGAATCAGTTGCACTGTCCGTGGAGGTTGAATCAGTTGCACTGTCCGTGGAGGTTGAGTCAGTTGCACTGTCCGTGGAGGATGAATCAGTTGCACTGTCTGTGGAGGATGAATCAGTTGCACTGTCCGTGGAGGTTGAATCAGTTGCACTGTCCGTGGAGGTTGAATCAGTTGCACTGTCCGTGGAGGTTGAATCAGTTGCACTGTCCGTGGAGGTTGTATCAGTTGCACTGTCCTTGGAGGTTGAATCAGTCGCACTGTCTGTGGAGGAAGAATCAGTTGCTCTGTCCGTGGAGGTTGAATCAGTTGCACTGTCTGTGGAGGATGAATCAGTTGCACTGTCCGTGGAGGTTGAATCAGTTACACCGTCCGAGGAGGATGAATCAGTTGCACTGTTCGTGGAGGTTGAATCAGTTGTACTCTCCGTGGAGGTTGAATCAGTTGCACTGTCCGAGGAGGATGAATCAGTTGCACTGTCCGTGGAGGATGAATCAGTTGCACTGTCCGTGGAGGTTGAATCAGTTGCACTGTCTGTGGAGGAAGAATCAGTTGCACTCTCCGTGGAGGTTGAATCAGTTACACTGTCCGTGGAGGAAGAATCAGTTGCACTGTCCGTGGAGGATGAATCAGTTGCACTGTCCGAGGAGGTTGAATCAGTTACACTTTCCGAGTAGGTTGAATCAGTTGCACTGTCCGAGGAGATTGAATCAGTAGCACTGTCCGAGGAGGTTGAATCAGTTGCACTGTCCGAGGAGATTGAATCAGTAGCACTGTCCGAGGAGGTTGAATCAGTTGCACTGTCCGTGTAGGTTGAATCACTTGCACTGTCCGAGGAGATTGAATCAGTAGCACTGGCCGAGGAGGTTGAATCAGTTGCACTGTCCGAGGAGGTTGAATCAGTTGCACTGTCCGTGTAGGTTGAATCAGTAGCACTGTCCGAGGAGGTTGAATCAGTTGCACTGTCCGTGTAGGTTGAATCAGTTGCACTGTCCGAGGAGGTTGAATCAGTAGCACTGTCCGAGGAGGTTGAATCAGTTGCACTGTCCGTGTAGGTTGAATCAGTTGCACTAGAGGTTGTTGGACCCGTTGCACTATCAGAGGATGTTGGTTCTGGAGAAGTACCTATGGTTGTTTGATCCGTTGTATCACCAGAGGTTGTTGGACCCGTTGTACTATCAGAGGATGTTGGTTCTGGAGAAGTACCTATGGTTGTTTGATCCGTTGTATCACCAGAGGTTGTTGGACCCGTTGTACTATCAGAGGATGTTGGTTCTGGAGAAGTACCTATGGTTGTTTGATCCGTTGTATCACCAGAGGTTGTTGGACCCGTTGTACTATCAGAGGATGTTGGTTCTGGAGAAGTACCTATGGTTGTTTGATCCGTTGTATCACCAGAGGTTGTTGGACCCCTTGTACTATCAGAGGATGTTGGTTCTGGAGAAGTACCTATGGTTGTTTGATCCGTTGTATCACCAGAGGTTGTTGGACCCGTTGTACTATCAGAGGATGTTGGTTCTGGAGAAGTACCTATGGTTGTTTGACCAGGTGTAGTACCAGGTACTGTTGTATCCTGTGCAGATCCTGGGCTTGAAGAACCCGGTGCAGTTTCTATGGTTGACTGAATGGGGATTGTTGGAACTGAAGTGGTTGCCGGGAATGTTGTAAGCGGTGTAGTTGCCGGGAATGTTGGAGGCGGTGTAGTTGCCGTGAATGTTGGAGGCGGTGTTGTTACAGGGATTGTTGGAGGCGGTGTGGTATCTGGGATTATTGGAGGCGGTGTAGTTACAGGGATTGTTGGAGGCGGTGTGGTATCTGGGACTATTGGAGGCGGTGTAGTTACAGTGATTGTTGGAGGCGGTGTGGTATCTGGGATTATTGGAGGCGGTGTGGTTACAGGGATTGTTGGAAGCGGTGTGGTATCTGGGATTATTGGAGGCGGTGTGGTTACAGGGATTGTTGGAGGCGGTGTGGTATCTGAGATTATTGGAGGCGGTGTGGTTACAGGGATTGTTGGAGGCGGTGTGGTATCTGGGATTATTGGAGGCGGTGTGGTTACAGGGATTGTTCGAGGCGGTGTGGTATCTGGGATTATTGGAGGCGGTGTAGTTACAGGGATTGTTGGAGGCGGTGTGCTAACTGGGATTGTTGCCGGTGGTGTTTCCGTGGGAACGAGTGTCTGGGTTGGTGGGACTGGAGGTATACTTACCGTGGTTCCTCCCTGTTGGCTGATGCTCACCTGAACTACGATGATTTCCTTCACTATTAAGGCTCTCATAGATCTTGCATCCACGACGATACTAATAATATTGGTAACAGATGTTATCACCGTCGCCCGGAAGGTCTCATCGGGTGTATATTGTTTAGTAATAATACTTTGTGTTATTGTAGTCACTGTGATCACCGCCGATCTCAGTTTATTGTTCTGTGAAGCTACTTTATCATAGTTTCTTTGGCTTATCGCTAACTGTGTTTCTATAATGGTCGTTTGAATAAAGACGAATTCATCTGCAAGGACGCTGCGTTTTCGTCTTCCTCCTCCTAATGCTAACGATGCGTTAATTGCGGCCACAAGTCTAGCCAGCTGACTCTGAAGGTTTTGAAGATTTGTAATTGCGTTGTCGGTTTCATTTAAGGCGCTCTGCAATTGGCTAAGCTGTGAAGTGAGATTCGCCAATGTTGCATTTCCGGCAATAGAAGTTGTTGTATTGGCCGTAGTAGTTACATTGGCTGTAGTAATTATGTTGGCCGTAGTAATTATGTTGGCTGTAGTAGTTATGTTGGCCGTAGTAGTTACATTGGCTGTAGTAATTATGTTGGCCGTAGTAGTTATGTTGGCTGTAGTAGTTATGTTGGCCGCAGTAGTTATGTTGGCCGCAGTAATTATATTGGCTGTAGTAGTTATGTTGGCTGTAGTAGTTATGCTGGCCGGAGTAATGTTAGCTGTAGTAGGGACAAACGGTAGGTTTGTGAAGATGACGGTGGGCGGAGCGGTGGGTACAGCCACGGTGGTTCCCCCTTGCTGGCCGATGTTCTGCTGTACAGAGTTGATTTGACTGACAATATCGCCTCTACTTCTATACGCACTGGTTATTACATCATTGACAATGGTAACAGATGATTGAGCGGTTGATTGAAAGTCTGAATCGATTGTTAAAGAGTTATTTACAATCAACTGTATTATTAGGATCAATATATTCTCCGCTGCATTTAACTGATCATCAAGAATTGATAAAGTGGCAGTGTTTCTTGCTGTTATCGCATCTCTAGTTTTGTTGACGAGAGTTTGAATTCCCTGGATAACTTGAGAGGGGCTGCGTTTCCTCCTGCGTCCTAGCATTGATGCGTTAATTGCGTCTACAAGATTTTTAAGTAATGCTTGAACTCTGGTAAGAGCCGTAATTGCATTATCTGTGGCATTTAAGGCGGATTGCAATGAACTGAGCTGTGAATAGAGGGCTGTCAGTGTTGAATTGGTGGTTGTAGTGTTTACATTGGTAGTTGTGTTAAGTTGTACGGTTGTGGTACTCCGAGAAGTAGTAGTTGTGTTTGGTGCTGAGGTTGTTAACTGGCAACTGACCAAGGACTCCGGGGTGATTATTAGGGGCGAGATGGTAGGTACAATCACAATGGCTCCTCCGAGTTGGCTGATCCGTGCCTGAATGGGGTTCATCTGGTCGACCGTGGTGCTTCTCTGTGTATTAGCAGCGAATATAGCCTTGTTGACGCTGGCTAGAGCAGACTGTGCGACTGCCAGCAGGCCTGAATCAACTGACAAAGACCAACTAACTGCGCATGAAAATATTTGTCCAAATGTGGCCTGCGCCAGAATTAGCTTTGGAAGGAGACCATTGGCAGTGGTAAGGTCTCCTCGTGTCAACGCGTCTGTTGTGTTGTCGATGACATATTGGATCGCCAGAATGTCTTGTGAGGTGCTGCGTCTCCTCCTCCCTCCTCCTCCTCCAAGTAGTGCGGTAATTGTGGTAATAATATTACTAATTTGAACTTGAAGGGATTGCAATGTTGTTAATATATTGGATGTACCGTTTAGAGTGGCGAGTAACTGGTTGAGTTGCGAAGTGAGATTAGCCAGTATTGCTGTATTGTTCACTGTAGTTGTGTTGACTACAGTAGTTGTTGTATTTACTCTAGTAGTTGTCGTGTTGGCTGCAGTAGTCGTCGTGTTGATTGCTGTAGTCGTCGAGTTGGCTGCTGTAGTCGTGTTGGCTGCTGTAGTCGTGTTGGCTGCTGTAGTCGTGTTGGCTGTTGTAGTTGTCGTGTTGACTGCAGTAGTTGTCGTGTTGGCTGCAGTAGTTGTCGTGTTGGCTGTAGTAGTTGTCGTGTTGGCTGTAGTCGTCGTGTTGGCTGCAGTTGTTGCGTTGACTGCAGTGGTTGTCACATTGGTTGCCAAAGTTGTCACGTTGGCTGAAGTTGTTGTAGCGTTTGTTGCAGTAGTTGTGTTTGCTGCAATAGTTGTTGTATTTGATCCTGAGGTTGTTGCATTTGACACTTGGGTCGTTGTTGAAGCTGTATCAGTCGAAGATGACAAATAAAATTTAATTAGTAAAAGGAAAATAGAACCGTATATTTAAGTATTGTAATTTTGGATTATTAGATAATAATTTTTTATTAAATAATGCTTATATGGTGATGTAGATATTCCTTGAATGAATGTATTTATATCTAAGAGAGAGCGTCTGTTGATTTGTTTGTTCAAGGTTGGGGACAGACACTTGGAGGTAGCTAGACTTAAAACTTTGCAGGGGGATTTGTAAGTTTATGGCAATTGTCTTAAGGTGGTTAGGGTCGACCCCAATGTGTCTCATTAAGTAGGACTGGTTCATATTGCGACCATCAACGTCTCGTAAGAAGTCTTAAATGTGGGTTTGGTTATCCTTAGTGTTAATATTAGATATTTTACCTGTTATCGACGTTGAATCAATGTCGATAACGTTGATTCAATGTCCATAACACTGATTCAACACTGGAGAAAGAACTTGAGGCAAAAAGACCGGAAAGAGGAAGAGGGAACGTATCAGAGGGATGGAGATGGAACGTGAGACAAAGGCAATGGGAGGGAGGTAGATGGAACAGATTAACTAATCTGTTCTCGCTCTCTCCCTGAGAGTCTGGCTTTTAACCTAACAAGGTTAGAGGCCAGACTCTTGGGGCTAGTCTCATGCAACTTTGCATGGTGATTGGTGATTTTTAGCTTCACAGAGTGGTCGGAGTCATCCAGTTTGCCTCCGTTGAAGAGGCATAGGCCACCACACCCTTTTCCGGAAGTCAATATGAAATGTGCAGCCAAAGGTCCGTAGAATTCAGCATACCTTTTAAAAAATTGTGTATTCAAACAGTGACATGCAAAACGAATGTTCAGACGACAGATTTACATTTTCGGTACGACATTTTGATTAATGTGATATAGATAGTGTGTAGTGAAAATAACAGCAATGGCAGGGGGATATGTGTTGATGGAGATGCAAAGCGTGTAGAGATGGGTATGACACGAAGAATTTTGCAGTGATGAAGACAGTTGTAAAAATGGTTACAGTGATGTGTAGAGATATGGAAGGTGCGTGACGAGGATGATGCAGAGGGGATGGTAGAAGAGATGGGAGGAGTGTGTGCGGGGAAGGAGGTGAAGATCGTGTGGTAAGGTGTGGGGAAGACTTGGGAGAATGCAGGCGACGAGTCACAATAACGTGGCTAAAGTATGATGACCAGACCACACACTAGAAGGTGAAGGGACGACGACGTTTCGGTCCGTCCTGGACCATTATCAAGTCGATTGTGATGAGGAAGTAGATGCAGGCAATACATAGACTAGAGAAAGGTGAGGAGCAAAGTGTAGTAGAGGGGATAGTAGTAGGAATAAGAACTGCAGAGGGCCTATTGACCCATACTAGGCAGCTCCTATTATAACCACCGAATGAGAAGGAGATACCAATAAGAATAAGAAGAGAATAGTAAGGGAACGTAAAGAAAATAATGAACAGAAAAGGGAGAAGAGAGAAAGAAAAGGAAAGAGAAAGAAAGATAAAGGAAGGGTAAGCTTATGTTATGTCACGTTTGTTAGAAAAATTAGAGCATTTAAGTATATACTGTGAAAGGGAAGAATCCACAGCAACAAAGCCAGGACTCAAGTTCATGTTGGGTTCATTGTGTATTAAAGCCAATTCAACAAGACGGCGTCTGTGTAGAGTAGAGGCAGGAAAAATTATTTTGGAGGAAGACCAATCAATAGGATGATTGGAATCCCTCATATGAGAGAAGAGACCATTGTTAGTGTCTGCAGACTTAACACTTCTCTTGGGTTCTTTAAGTCTGTCATTCAGTGTACGGCCAGTTTCGCCAAAGTATTGGAGAGGTCAAGACGAACAGGAAATAGAGTAGACACCAGCAGCATTAGAAGCAGGAGGAGCAGTGTGAAATAGATTGCTACGAAGTGTGTTAGTTTGACAAATTAACTTAGACAGCGAGGCACTACACTTCAAAAAGTCAACACCAGCAATCAACAGCCAATTAATGCTCAACTATTTTCTACCCATTTCAAGGCACCGTATGGGCCAGTAGACCCTCTGCAGTTACTTCTATTCTCATGTACCCACCTCACCCAATACTCACCTCACCCAAAACCAATAAAAAACAAGAGTTATGTTAAATGTTTCATACACAGTGTATCAAGTGTATCATAAGTGTAGTGTTAAGTGTAAAGAAGTCTTTGAGAATGTAAGAAGTCCTTACGAAACGCCTCTAGGTGTCAGAACATTATTAAAAAAGAATTTTGGAGAATTGATATTTCCATTTCCACCGACAGTGAAGAAAAACATAAGAAATATTGAGAAAATTCGTGTTAGATAATATAGATATCTTATTAATATATTAATATTATATATAGACATATATAATGAAGATAAAGCGTTATTTCTCTTGGAATTTGCTAAACATAAACTACTGGGCTTTGACGAAAAGAATTATATTTTTCAGGTGAGAAGAAAATATGAATTATTTACTCCATACACAGTTTTAAATGTAGATATGCTAGAGCCCAGTAGGCTAAGGAATCTGTACACTAGTTGATTGAAGGTTGAGAGGCGGGACCAAAGAGCCAGAGTTCAACTCCCGCAAGCACAACTAGGTGAGAACTAGGTGAATACACACACACACACATACACTACACACACACACATACAAGTTCAACCCGATAAATGCAAAGTAATGAAACTAGGCGGTGGAAAGGAGGCCAGACACAGGATACAAAATAGGAAATGAAGTACATAATGAATAGAATCAAGGAGAAGGTATAGAGGGTATAGAATCGTTTCTCTCAATGTTTGCCGATGATGCAAAAATTATGAGGAGGATTGAAACTGAGGACGATAGTAGGAGGCTACAAGATGACCTAGACAGACTGAGTGACTGGTCCAACAAATGGCTGTTGAAGTTCAACCTGAGTAAATGCAAAGTAATGAAACTAGGCAGTGGAAACAGGAGCCCAGACACAGGATACAAAATAGGAGATGAAGTACTTAATGAAACGGACAGAGAAAAAGATCTAGGAGTTGATATTACACTAAACCTGTCTCCTGAAGCCCACATAAAAAGAATAACGTCTGCGGAATATGCGAGGCTGGCTAACATCAGAACAGCCTTCAGGAACCTGTGTAAGGAATCATTCAGAATCTTGTACACTACATATGTAAGACCAATCCTGGAGTATGCGGCCCCAGCATGGAGCCCGTTCCTTGTCAAGCACAAGACGAAGTTGGAAAAAGTCCAAAGGTATGCCACTAGACTAGTCCCAGAACTAAGGGGCGTGGGTTACGAGGAAAGGCTGCGGGAAATGCACCTTACGACACTGGAAGACAGAAGAGTAAGGGAAGACATGATCACAACCCACAAAATCATCAGAGGAATCGACCGGGTAAACAAGGATAAACTATTCAACACTGGTGGGACGCGAACAAAGGGACACAGGTGGAAACTGAGTACCCACATGAGCCACAGAGACGTTAGAAGGAATTTTTTCAGTGTCAGAGTAGTTAACGGATGGAATGCATTAGGCAGTGATGTGGTGGAGGCTGACTCCATACACAGTTTCAAATGTAGATATGATAGAGCCCAGTAGGCTCAGGAATCTGTACACCAGTTGATTTTCAGTTGAGAGGCGGGACCAAAGAGCCAAAGCTCAACCCCCGCAAGCACAAATAGGCGAGTACACACACACACACACACAATATTGGGCCTGGTAGCCTGGTGGATAGCGCGCAGTACTCGTAATTCTGTGGAGCGGGTTCGATTCCCGCACCATGCAGAAACAAATGGGCAAAGTTTCTTTCACCCTGAATGCCACTGTTACCTAGCAGTAAATAGATACCTGGGAGGTAGTCAGCTGTCACGGGCTGCTTCCTGGGATGTGTGTGTGTGTGTGGTGTGAAAAAATGGTAGTAGTAGAAACAGTTGATTGACAGTGGAGAGGCGGGCCGAAAGAGCAGAGCTCACCCGCCTGCAAGGATAACTAGGTGAATACACACACACACACACATACACACACACACACACACACACACACACACACACACACACACACACACACACACACACACACACACACACACACACACACACACACACACACACACACACACACACACACACACACACACACACACACACACACATCCTCCTGCCCCATTCACCCCATACCCTCCCTGGCCTTCCCCCTTCACTTGACCCCCACCCCTCATCCCAGTATCCTCTGCAACCCTGGTATCCACCTCACAAATCCTCACACCCATGGCACAGCTTCCTCCACCAGCAGAACATTCACCAAGGAGGAGAATTGAGAAGGGACAGAAGAAAGTGAGCCTCAAGGCAATGTACACTAACATAGATAGTATTACAAATAAGGCAAATGAACTTGGAGAATGGGTACTAGAGGAAAACCCAGACATAATAACTCTCACAGAAACAAAGCTGTCGAAAACAATAACAAATGTAGTGTTCCCACAGGACTATTATGTTATGAGGAAAGAGAGAGAAGGAAGAGGTGGTGGTGGTGTAGCTCTGCTGGTAAGAAAAGGCTGGGATTTTGAGGAGTTGGTTGTTCAGGGATGTGAAGGTTTTAGTGACTACATAATAGGAACAATAACAACTGGAGGGCAAAAAATTATAGTCGTAGACATAGTGAGCATTTAAAATTAGCTAATATAATTAAACAAATTTGTGTTTGCCATAATATAGAACTAAAGATCTGATTTTATTCAACATTCTTTTAACGTTAATGTGTAATTCACGTGTTTTAATGTACACTTTTAACATGAATACTAGGCAATTTTAAAATGAGTTGACGTGTACTTTTACCATGTGTTTATGTTGTTTTAATGTTTGTCTTTGTAGATTTTTAAAATGACTAACGTGCACGTTTAACATGTGTTGATATTTACTGTTATAAAGTGTTAATGTGTACTTTTAACATGTGTTAATGTGAACTTTAGCATGTATTAGAGTATACTTTTAACATG